CTGTTCATTCTTCTGCTGCGTGCTCCCTTCTTCTCTTCATTCATTTCATTTTATCATATCAGATTCTGAGGAAGGGTTATTTAAATGGGTATCAGATCTCTTGTCTAGACTGTGTTATCTGTGGTAGCTTTCATTGTTATTTGCAGACAGAGAGTCAGAGAAAGGGTATGATTGTTTGTTCATTAGATTTCCTTCATTTGGAATTATTCTCGTGTTCTCCATAACTTTGGTAATTATTTACAGAAAGCTTCATATGGGTTAGCATTCATTTTGATTAATCCTCAATATCAATGACGATGAACGATATTTTCATCCTTGCTTTAGTTAAAATCTTAATACATAGTTAATGTAACAGTTCAAGTTCATCACTAGTAGATATTATCTTTTTTTGGGCTTTCCTTCCAGACTTCTCTTCAAAGTTTCCACATTGTTATAAGAAATGTTTTGTTCCCTCTCCAACCAATGTGAGATCTCACAATCCACCCTCCTTGGGGTCAACATCTTCGCTGGCACATTACTCGATGTCTTGCTTTGATATCATTTTGTAATAGTCTTAGACATTGCTAACAAATATTGTCTTTTTTTGTTTTACTTCTGGACTTTTCCTCAAGGTTAGAGGAGGTTTTATTACCCTTATAAAGAATACTTTCATTTCCTTCTCTAACGAATATAAGATCTTTGTCTATTTTGAAATAAAAAAAAAAAAAGAATACTTTCATTTCCTTCTCTAACGAATATAAGATCTTTGTCTATTTTGAAATAAAAAAAAAAAAGGTTAAAATTGGTTTTTATAATTTTTAAAATTAAAAATTTATAAGAGTTTGTATTTGAAAATTTAGGAAAATTTTAATAAAATTTTTATGTAATTTTACTTACTAAAGTTGACCGTTGTATTTGAAAATTTAGGAAAATTTTAATAAAATTTTTATGTAATTTTACTTACTAAAGTTGACCGATTTACATTTTTACTAAATAATCCGCAGCGGGTCGGGTACATATAAAATGGTTCCTCATGGAGTCCGGAACCCGACAAGAAACATGTCGCGTGGGACGCACGTGCCACAGCTAGAATCCAGGAATCCTCATAATGCAAAACAATGGAAATGACGAAAAAGCCCCCTACTGAGCTGAACTTCAATCCTGGCTGACAGGAAAGAACGTTGACATTGTCGGTGCTCCGCGTTGCTTGACGGAACGGTAATTTTCATGAATCTCACAAGAAGGGTAAAACCGTCCATTCATAAAGTTGTCTTCCGCTCAAGCTCCGCCCTCGCCTTTCCCTTTGGGAAATCGACAATGGTCTCCTGCTCCATAATTATCGCTGTTTTTATCCGACAGAAGAGGAATAGAAAGAAAAAAAAAAAAAAAATAATAACATTTTTATTTCAATCGATCAATAATTCCCCCAAATTTTGTTATTTGTAGAGAGAGAAACTGCAAAACAGAAGACCAACGAAGAAGAAGAAGAAGAAGAAGAAGAAATTGAAGAAGCATCTCCGTTTCTTCAAATCTTCGTTGCTCAAACAACAATCTTCAAAAACCAGACAGATTTCTGGCTTTTCCGACCAACCCAGTGAGTAAAATCTGTTCTTTTTTCACTTTTTCCTGCTTTTTCTCTTCGGTTTTGTTGGGTTTTGTTTAATCGAGAAAGGGGAATCTTTAGCGTTCGGAAAAGAACAGAACTTTATCGCCTGCATTTTTCTCCGGCGAAGGAACAAAGGGTTTTTGGGTTTCTTTTTTGTTCTTCTGGGTTGTGGATTCGTTGAATCTGCGGCAGTTTTCAGATGCCGGAGAAGGGCCTGCTTCGAGCCACATCGCAGCCATGGCTTTTCGGGTCGTCTCCGTTGGTACATTCCCGTTTTTGGGTACTCACAGGGTTGGTTCTTCTCAGTATGTTGGCCTTTTGGAGTATCGACGGCTTCAACATTAATACCTTCATCAAATTTTGGAGCTCCCCTCAAGATTTCGTCTCTGTTTCTTCCAATTTCACCAATACCCATTTTAATTTATCCACTAAGGATTCCAATTTCACCCAATTCGTCTCTTACAAACCCGAAAATTACCCGGAATCTGCGTTGTTTGAACCGGTTTCGCCGCATAATTCCACCGTCGAACCTCGCCGAATTGAGAATGAACCGGCGGTTCCCTACGCGTCTTTTTCTGATTGGTTTTCAGCTGAACTCGAGCCTAATTACACCTCCAATCTTCTCGCTTTATGGAAGACTCCCGGCGGCGAACCCTGCAGAGACTCCCGGACGGCGGATATTGCTATTTCCGGCATGGAAGGTCCGGGAGTGGTGGAGCTTTCAACAGGGGATGTTCATGAGTTTCGGTTTCAAGCTGTTGATGAATCTGGAAACCCTCGTTGTCTAGGTGGAGACTATTTTGAAACTGATCTTTCCGGCGAGTGGTGGAAGTCTCGGCCGTTTGTTAGAGATTTTGGGAATGGGACTTATTTGTTTTGGGTTCAGGTGCACCCTGATTTCGCCGGTGATTATGAACTGACTGTGATTCTTCTGTTCCGAAGTTTCGAGGGGCTGAGGTTTTCCCCGACCCGATTCGCGTACGATCGAGAGCTTCGGAGAATCAAGGTTCGATTTGTTAGGACTTCGGTGGAGTTGCCGGAGATTAAGAGTTGTGGAAGGTGGGATTTTGGTAGAGAGATTTGGACGGGACGGTGGACTCGACACGGTCGAAATGAGGGTTGCGAGATCAGTGATGATGGTCGGTACCGGTGTTTTCCACCGGAGTATCCTTGCCGGAGGCCTTGGTGCAATGGGTCATTGGGGTTGTTGGAGAGCAATGGTTGGGTTTATTCAGCACATTGTTCATTTCAGATGTTTACTAGTGGTTCTGCTTGGGATTGCTTGAAGGGCAGATGGATCTTCTTTTGGGGTGATTCGAATCATGTCGATACGATAAGGAACCTTCTGAATTTCGTGTTGGATTTGCCTGAAATCCCTGCAGTTCCGAGGCGATTCGATAGGAATTTTTCGAACCCGAAAAACCCGTCTCAAACGGTTCGCATTACCAGCATCTTCAATGGCCATTGGAATGATACACAAAACTATGAAGGTTTGAATTCATTGAGAAATGAGGGATTCAGAAATCTCCTGTACAAATACTTCTCCGAACAAACCGTTCCCGACACGATCATCATGAACTCGGGCCTCCACGACGGTGTTCACTGGTTGAATATCCGAGCTTTCTCGGTCGGGGCAGCCTATGCTGCATCATTTTGGAAACAACTTCTGGATTCCATCATGCTGAGGGGATTAACAGTCCCGAAAGTGTTCTACCGAACCACGGTCGCAACCGGTGGCTACGCTCGAACACTCGCATTCAATCCCAACAAAATGGAAATATTCAACTGGGTGGTGCTGGAGAAGTTAAAGGAATCCGGGATCATCCACGGTGTCATCGACAACTTCGACATGACATTCCCCTGGCATTTCGACAACCGATGCAACGATGGAGTACATTACGGTCGAGCTCCGGCCAAGCTCACATGGAGGGACGGCCAAATCGGCCACCAATATTTCTTAGACCTCATGTTAGCTCATATTCTTCTCAATGCACTCTGCTCTTGATTCAACAACACCCCAACATTCTTTGCTACCTTAAAATCCCCATTCATCCAGGATTTACCCACTTCAATCCTCAACCAGCTGCAGTAAATTCTTTGTATTGCGCAGTAACTTTTGCTGGGGTTAATTTGTACCTCATTTAATTTGTTTATATTTTGGAATTTTGGGATGTGCTACCCATGTTCTATAATGTTCATTATTTATATAATCTTCCACCCCTAGCTGGGTATCAAACTCGTTGACCATTTAATACAAAACTCGAGTGCGTGCGACTACTATATTAGAACATGATAGATAGGGAATCAAAATTGACCCAATTGAAAAAAACTGAACCACCGTTACGTTTGTGGTTTGAAATCAAATAAAATCGTGCGTTTTCATTTGTTTCATTGGCTACGAGCTCGGTCATGTCCATTGATAAATCGATCTTTTTCAATACTCGATTACTTAGGTAACCCTAAACCCTAAAAATTAAAATATTAAATATCAAATAATTTAGGCTAATAAATTGAAGTCAAATAATTGGTTAATTGAATGTCTCACACAATAATTAGAATTGATTACCATACTTAAAACATTGTTGTTTGGTGGAAATACATCTCAGCCATTGATTTTGTTCCCTTTTTTTTTTCAACTTTTAATGGGAATTTTAATTTATAGATTTTTTTTTAAAAAAAAATAATTTGTTTCAACCCCTTCTTAATCCATTTATCTCATGATATATTTTTCTTTATTTTAAAATTCTCTCAAATTATTTTGAAGTAGAAATTCATTAGAATATTTGAAGAAAAATTGAAACGCTCGTTTAGATTAAGTTTGACTTTCAAACGATTAACTTTTCAACCAATTGTTGTTTGAATTTTTATGAAAGAGTGAATTAAAAATCATAATCTTTATTAGTTGGAAGTTGTTGCAAAAATTTTATGACGTTTTAATTTAGGTATTAATCTCCACCAAAAATTAATTTTTAAATAAGTCGTTGATATTTTAACTGTCTTATATTATAAAAGCTTCTAATAATTTTTTTTTAAAAAAATTATTAAATTATTTTGAACAACCTTAAAAGACACACAAACAAATTATTAAAATATACAAGTTAAATAGATATAATTTTGAAAGGAAACTTAATATTTAATCTACAAATGGAATATTAAAATAGGTCTATTTGGTAATAATTTCACGGAAATTCAGTTAATTTTTAATTTATAAAAGTTGACAAAAAAAAAAAAAGATCTTTTGGGCCCAAAAGTCGTTTGTTTTCATTTCTGGCCCATTTGATAATATTTCGAAAATTAAAAGAGAAATATAAAATCTTATTTTATGGTACTTATTGAATTTAAAAATGGTTAAATTAAATACAATTACAAATTAGTCCCTATAATTTTAAAAATTACAATTTCATAACAAAGTTTTATTAAATTACGTACAAGCAAAGGGAGAAACACTGACCGTGTAAATTACGTGAGATGGCGCATTTTGATTCAGTTTTGCAGGCCGCAACCGGACTCAGTTTTTGTTTCCTTTCATTCTTCCCAAACCATTGAATCATGGCCGACGCCGCACCCGCGCCGAGGTAGATCCAGAGCCACCGCCTTCCCATGCCCTAACGGAGCTCCGATTGCAACGACCTTGTCCCGATGGCTTTCAGAATCGCTTTCGTCATCCTCCTCGTCACCGCCGTAGCTTTCGCTTGCTTCACTCTCCCCGTCGATAAGGTCCGTTTGCTTACTGATTTTGGTTTGTTCATCGATCTTCGTTTCCCCATGGTTTATATCTGCAGATTTTTCATTTTCTATATTGATCGGAGTTCCTTTCCGATTTCAACGTCCGAAGTATGGAAAATTGGAAAGATAAAATAATTATTCATTTATTAATCGCAAAAATCTAAAGTCATTTTTTATTTTGGATATTTAGGTCAAATACAATTTTGATCAAATTTTAGAAAATTGTTCTAAATTATTTCTCACAATTTTTTTAATGATGTGACCAATTTTTATTAATTTAATTCTAGATTTAAGTGATTGTTTTTTTTTTAATTTAATTTTCTCTCTCATTCTTTCTCTCTCTTCCCTCGCAATCTCCCTCCCTTTTCTTCCCTCCCACTCCATTCTTCTCACTCCTCTATTATAATATGTATATAGAATAAATAAAGATATATATATATATAATTTTTTAGGTCAAATATATAGATTTTTTTTATTATAAGATTTTAATTATGAAATAAATAAAAATTATTTTTTTAAAAAATTGATATAATATATATATATATATATCTCTTATAATAATAAAAAAAATTATCGGTTGAAAATATGGAGATTGAAAAAGGAGGCGTTTCAATCACTACCGGACCCTTTGGACATTTAGATTAAAGATATATTATTTTTTATCAAAGAAATAATAATTTTCATTAGAGCATGGACATAGTGACCAAGGGCATTTAGATTGAAATATATTCGTTAATATTTGATTAGTTTTTCTGAACATAAGGTACAAAATTCAAAATTTATTAAAACATATACGTTCGATTAAAATGTCAAAAGTTCATTCTATTTCATTCATACTGATTAAATACCTAATGTTAAATTTATAGTCAAATTTCCTGGAAGACTACCTTTAATTATTTTCTACCATTTATTTTTTAAAGCATAATTATTTAAATGAAATAGTTCATATAATATAATTTCTACAAAAAGTTACATATAATTAGTGAGTACACATTATACAGAACAGGGTTCTACTAATTGATGGTTGATTCATTTTTTGGGAATTGTGTTTTGGTTCTTTCACGAAGCAATAGGGTTCTACTAATTTTTTTCTTTAAATTCTTAACTTCTCTGCAGATTTTGAAGGATTTCTTGTTATGGGTTCACCAGGATCTTGGCGTCTGGGGTCCCGTTGTGTTGTGAGTCACTCTACCCATTTATTGAAATGATCCCTTCTCAACCAACCATCTCTTATTAGAAGCACTATAAATGCAGGGCCATTGCATACATTCCATTGACAATCATGGCTGTTCCTGCCTCAATCCTGACAGTAAAATTACATACTTTATGCTCATTCATGACCAGCCTTACCTAGTTTCTTAAGCCATCATTAAGTTTTATCTCTACCTTTTCTGCCTCAGCTTGGGGGTGGCTACTTGTTTGGGCTACCCATTGCCATTGTTGCTGATTCTATTGGTGCCACTGCTGGTGCTGGGGCTGCATTTCTTCTTGGAAGAACTGTAAGTTCTTGGATTCAGTATGCCTTCAATGCATTCCTGTCAATGTAATTCATTTGAGTTTCTTACTATGTGCTGCAGATTGGGAAATCCTTTGTTGTTTCCAAGTTGAAGGACTATCCGCAGTTCCGCTCGGTTGCTATTGCAATTCATAGATCTGGGTTTAAGGTTTTTATGTGGAAAGTTTTTTGTTTTTTTAAGCTGCTTTTTTGTCTTGTGCTTAGCTTTGACTGCTGTGATTTGCAGATCATTCTGTTACTTCGGCTTGTTCCCTTGCTTCCGTTTAACATTATGAATTATCTTTTGTCTGTGACTCCTATTTCACTTGGGAAGTACATGTTGGCTTCCTGGTTGGGAATGATGGTATGTTCCTCAACTTTCTCCGCGGCCTTAATTTCTTGTTGATCATTTTTACGAAATTCATAACCAAGACGGATGGCGCTTACGTAGTGAACGAATTCGTATTATGCCATTGGAAAAAGCTAATTCAAAAGCCTAATGAGTTATCTTAGTAACCAAATGTTGTAGGGTTATGTGGTTGTTTCGAGAAAGTAGTCAGTGTTGAGGATTGTTGGGAGAGGGTATCAGAGTCATGCCTATGCCAATAGAATCCTCAAATGTCAAACAAAGAAGTTGTGAGCCTCGAAAATGTAGTCAAAAGTGACTCAAATGTCGAACAAATGGTGTATTTTGTTCGAGGACTCCAGAGAAAGAGTCGAGCCTCAATTAAGAGGAGGCTGTTCGAGGGCTCCATAGGTCTCAAGTGAGGCTATATAGTGTACTTTGTTCGAGGGAAGGATTGTTGAGAGGGAATCCCACATTGGCTAATTTAGGAAATGATCATAGGTTTATGAGTGAGGAATACATTTCCATTGGGATGAGGCCTTTTGGGGAAGCCTAAAACAAAACCATGAGAGCTTATGCTCAAAGTGGACAACATCATACCATTGTAGAGATCCGTGATTCTTAAGATTCAGAGTGTACAAGCTAGTTTGGACATTCACTCTATGAAAGAAAGAACACTCATTTAAAAGGAAAAGAAATCTATGAAAAGTCATTGATCCTTGTTAGATCAATCACATTGATAACTTTATAGCTCACTGAAATTTTTTGGTGTTCATGTGGTTGGCTCATATGCTTGTTTCACATTGATTTCCAAATGATTATTTGGTTGCAGCCAATTACAGTTGCATTAGTTTACGTGGGAACAACCCTTAAGGATCTATCTGATGTGACTCATGGCTGGAATGAATTTTCAAAGTCTGATTGGGTAAGCTAATTCAGGTTCCATCGTTGGCTAGAGATTGATACTCTCTAATTGTTAGGTATTTGAATGAGCTGATATAATGACCTCCTTTCTCTAGTATGATGTAAATTTGATATTTCGTGAATGCAGGCATTTCTCGTGTTGGGTCTTTCGATATCTGGTAAGTGCCAACTCGTATGTATAACGATATTTAGCTTCTTATAACGCACATGCTCACATTCCTCAGTCAAGGAAGTGTTCCCCATATGATCCCTAAGCAAGGCATCTTGAAAGTTAGATTCTATGTTTCTCTTTAAGCGCCAATGTCATGTTCATGTTATAATTATTCTTTATGTAACGACTCAAATTCACTAGCAGATGTTGTTCTTTTTGGGCTTTTTCTTCTGGGCTTCCCTTCAAAGTCTTAATACGCATCTACTAGGGAGAGGTTTCTATACCCTTATAAAGAATGTTTCGTTCCCCTCTCCAACCGATGTGGGATCTCACAATCTACCCACCTTCTTTCGGGGCGCAGCGTTCTCGCTGGTACTCGTTACCCTCTCCAATCGATGTGAGATCTCACAATCCACCCCTCCTTTGGGGCTCAGCGTCCTCGTTGGCATTCCACCCGGTGTCCACCCATTTCAGGGCTCAGCGTCATCGTTAGCACACTGCCCGGTGTGGATTGTGAGATCCCACATCAGTTGGAGAGGGGAATGAAACATTCTTTATAAGAATGTGGAAACCTCTCCCTAGTAGATGCATATTAAAACCTTGAGGGGAAGCTCGGAAGGGAAAGCTTAAAAAAGACAATATCTACTAGCGGTGGGTTTGGGCTGTTACACTTTAGTTCTTATTTTGCTTGATTGGAGCCCCTTCCCTAGTCGGGTTCCATTTTGTGGACTTGGTTCTTTTTTAGGCCCGTGCAGTCTTTCATTTTTTTCTTAATGAAAGTTCTTTTCTATTGTCATCCCTAGCCTTGGCTGGGTAGGTGGGAGTGCAGATTATTACCCTTTTGACACCATGGAACTAAGAAAATGACTGCAAAAATTCCTTCTCTATCTATTGCATTCAGCTGCTAAATAGAGCATTGGAATAAACTTAAAACACAAACATTCAGCACAAGCTTAGCATCCAAGGAAAGCCTTGAAACATTTTTCTTTGAATTACAGTGGTTCTAATAATTTGCATTACAAAAGTCGCCAAGGCTGCTCTAGATAAAGCGCTGGCCGAAAAGGAAGATTACGACGATGTAGTGTCTGGTCAGCTACTGGTTGTAGAGGCTCCTCTAGATCTCAAGCAGCCTCTGATAATCAAGATAGACCCAACCGAAGATAACCAAGAAAAATGACAAGGCCATGTCCTCAACGAACCATTCTGATTCACTCCACAGCTACTGATATCAACTTGTTTAAGAGCTTGTGGTTTGTAATATCTCTGTACAGTTCCATAACTTAGGTAGAAACCTAGCTTAGCTTCTGTCTTGTGATTGGAGATGAATATATGATAACTATAGACAGTTCTTGAACTTTTCTGTATCGTATTACTAGGAAAGAACGTTCAGTTCTTGATAGATATAGTATTGCTAAATTATAAAAAATACAGTTGACCTTCATAAACTTTTCAAAACTCTCGTTTGTGTAGAAAACTTATTAGAATGCTTGAGGAAAAGTCAACGTGACAGAACGTAGTCTTTTCAGACCTCATCTAGACAAGCGTCTAAATCATCAGGTCGTTGTTGGTCATTATCATGTTGTTTTTCGGTTCAACATTCAAATGAATTTCTACTATAAGGGTAGTTTTGAAACGTCAAGGACACTAGGATCAAATTCAAACAATAGTATAGAGAATGATTGAAGCTTCTTAATGGTTGTGTACAGAATTTTTTTGAGAATGTAAACAGAGATTCATTCTTTAACCATCTTCCAATTGGGAGATGTTGAATCCAGCCGAAGTGGGGAACACAGACTTGGAAACCTTGCTTCTTGGAGCCTTTACTTTTTGTCTCCACCAACCCCTATTGCTATCTGTTCAATTCCCAACTAAAAGTTGAGTGCTGCTCAGTTGGAGAAGAAGAAAAAGAAGCTCATTTGTTGAACTTGTTTAGACATATGATCATTTTTCTATGTACAATATTGGTTGCTATAACATTTTTTTCCCTCCTTCAAACCAAGAGAGGAAGTTAATGACCTTTGGGATCGTGCTTCAATAGTAATACTCTAATCGAGTCAGCCTGATGTAGTAGATATGTGAGATCCCTTATCAGTTGAAGAGGGGATCGAAACATTCCTTATAAGGGTGTGGAAACCTCTCTTTAGCAGACACATTTTAAAACCGTGAGGCTAATGACGATATGTAATAGGTCAAAGCGAACAATATCTGCTAACAGTGGACTTAGGGTGTTATAAATGGTATCATAGCCAGACATTGAGTAGTGTGCTAGCAAGGATGCTAGCTCCCAAGGAAGGTGGATTGTGAGATCCCACATCGGTTGGAAAAGGGAATGAAACATTCCTTGTAAGAGTGAAAATCTCTTCCTAGTAGACACGTTTTAAAACCGTTAGGATGACGACGATACGTAAAGGCCAAAGCAGACGACATCTGCTAGCGCTGGATTTGGGCTGTTACAAATGGTATCATAGCCAGACATCGGACGTTGGGCTCCAAGAGAGGTGGATTGTGAGATCCCACGTCGGTTGGAGAGGGGAACGAAACATTCTTTATAAAAGTGTGGAAACCTCTCTCTAGCAGATGCATTTTAAAACTATGAGGCTAACGACGATACGTAACGGGCCAAAGCAGACAATATTTGCTAATGGTGGGCTTGAGCCGTAAAACCATAAGGCTGACGGTAATACGTAACGGGTCAAAGTAAACAATATCTACTAGCGATAGGCTATGTATACTAATAGACGTAGTTGAGTTGATTTCGAACGAATTCAAAGTACTTTTTACTTTTGAAAAGGATTCTTTTCAAAGGTTTAAAATGGAGAATCTCCACAATCAATCTACCCACAATCTTGTGCAAGTGATTGAAGGTGGTTGAAGATGAACAGTGGAGTGAGCCAAAAGAAAAAGATATCATAATGAGTGGTGTAGCAGAATCATATTGGCTAATGCAACCCCTCATCATGAAGCTTTGAACTCCCCACTCCTTTTAGTGGTTACACCATTTCCCTTTTCCCTTTTCTCTTCCTTCCTCCACAAACCATTTCAATATTTCAATCTTTTTCACTTTCTTTTAGAAAACAACTTATTCTTTCAATGCAATTTTCTTCCACCTTTTCCCAACTCCTCTCATGCTGTTGAATTGGCCCCACCAATTCCTTAATGGAAGGGCTTATCCATATTCCCTTAAGATGCCCTCTCAGCCACTTGATCCTTATAGCCTTTAAATCACAGCCATCTGATGCAACTTTTCCACAAAAACACAGGAAAAACCAGAGTTTCTGCTAATTTATATAGTTCAAACCCCTTGAGGGATTGATGGTTTTATGTAGAACCAACAATTCAAATGCCGGGGTTCGGTGTTTTCCCTCTTGGTAGCTGTTTCGATGGGTGCCGAGACCACACTCAAGCGTCGGGATTCGGCACGCGTATATGGAACTTGAGCGACAGGCCGGTCGAGCTGCAGATAAGGGTAGGTCAATATTGAAAAAGGTGCATAGTTTGAAGCCAGGATGCTCAAAGAGGTTGAAATGTAAGAGCATTTACAAAGCATATATGCCAGGAAGGAGTATGAAGAGCTTGCTTTATTACTATGATGAAGCTTGCCAACCTTATGTTTGGATACATGAAAGTGGAGGTGATTCCATGAGAATGGTGAAGCAACAATTTATCAGTCTTGAAGATTTGAGGGAGTTTTCTGAGATTAGAATCTTTCGGGATCATCAGCGCGGTTGCGTATCGGTTCGGAAAAAACCGAGGCTCGGTTTCTGCTGATTCTTATACTAAAACATGTTGTGTTTTGAAACTTTGTAACTTCTCTATGAATGTTGTTCTTGTGTTTTCATATCTGCAATGTCTGTTGCCTAACTGTCTTTCCCTGTTTCCTTCTTTTGTTTGGAATTTAACAAAGTCAGATGGCATTGTTGTTTGGTAGAATTGTTCGTTTCTTCGCTTTGCCTTCTAGTCACTTTTAAGGATGATTCATTATAAGTATATGGAAATCTCGATTGGATAAGAAACGAAGCATTCCTTATAAGGATTAAACCTCTACCTAATAGACAAGTTTTAAAATCGTGAGGCTGACGAATGTATGTAATGGGCTAAAGTGAACAATATTAGCAGACTTGGGTTGTTACAAGAATCTACGTTCTTTTGGTAGAAAAAGTATAATTGTTTAACGACGAAGATGTTGCCTATTTCGTAAAAGTCTATAAATGAGTAAAGCATCCTTATAAATGAAAGGTTTAAAGTTAAATAAAGTGGTTTGACAGTTTGACGAACTGTATCATGGAATCTTCAATTAAGAGCACTAGACCGTAAAACTTTTAGAAAAGTTCAAATTTTTCTATATTTTTAGGCTGAATTTGTCGATAAAAATATTTTAAAAATATATAACGTGACAAGTTATTTATGAATATTTAAAATAAATAATTAGATTTTATTTTTGAAATTTTGGGATTTCAAAATCAATTTAGGTTTGAAAAACATGAATTTTGGATTGAATTTTGATTTTAAAACACTATTTTAAAATTTGAAAATTCAAAAAAAAAATCCCCCGATTATTCTATTTTCTTTTAATTTGCAGAATTCCATGGTTGGAATTGGAAATTTATGAAGTTGGACACCGTGGACGACAAGTAGGAAAGTTGTTGCCATCTCAGCATTGAGAAACGACACGTCGGAATGAGATAAACGTAGAACCGTCAAATAGAAAACGGAGGTCAACGGAATGGGCTGAACAAGGACTTGCTTCTTCCCAATTGTTGAGCAGAAGAAAGAAAAATCCCAAAATTTTATTTCTTCTTCTCCGATCTCTCAATCCAGAAATGGGTATTTCATGGAGTAACAGAAGAAGAAACAATTATCTTCAAAACCCACCTCCGCCGTACCATTCTTCTTCCTCCTTCTATTACCCTTCTGAACCCACATCCCTTCCACCGCCGCCGCAGACCCATCACTTCACCAATTCCCACCCTCCTCCGCCGCACAGCCACCCTTACACTCCAACTCCCCAGCCGATACCCTTGCCGCCGATTCCTCCTGCCCCTGCTCCTCACTCCTATTACTTTTCTGGTGGGTACAATTCGTGTAATTATGGGAACTCTCCGATGGGGCGTTTCAATTTCCACCCTCATTATGCCAATCAGAGTAATGGGTGGTCTCCAATTCGGCCGGTGATGGTGCCGCCGTTGCTTCCGCCACCGTCTTTGCCGTTTGTGGAGCATCGACAGGCGAAGAAGGTTAGGAATGATGTGAATGTGCATAAGGATACTTTGAGGATTGAGGTGGATGAGCAGATTCCTGATCAGCATTTGGTTTCTTTCGTGTTTGATGCGTTGTATGATGGAAGGTAAGTTGAGTTGCACTTAATTGAGTTTTGGTTTGTAATTAGTGTTGTGTTGGGCATGTGGGTGGCTGTTGAATGATTTGAAATTGTTTGAAATGGTTCATGATTTGGATCTCAATTGCTGCATTTTGAGTTGGGGATTTCTCTGAAACCTTACTAAGGTTTAGTTTAGCTAGTCTAAGTTAAGGGGCTTGGTAGAAAATGCTTGTCATGATGTAATTTCTTCATTGCTGCTTGGAAGTTCACAATGCTTGCTTGTACTCTCTCGGTGTTCATGAAGCAACATTTTGTAGATTGATGGTACTGTTAGAACTTTTGTAACCTTGTTGTGCATAATGAGGGGTATAAAGAAACTGAATTATGCCTGCCGCCTTTAACTAGAGTCCTTACAAGCAATTGATCTTGATTATTGCTGTAAAACCATCGTTAGCAAATAGTGTCTGCTGCTGTCAGCCTCACGGTTCTAAAATGCGTCTGCTAGGGAGAGGTTTCCACACGCTTATAAGGAATATTTCGTTTCCCTCTCCAACCGACGTGGGATCTCACAATTGCCTTCTGTTATTGTACCATATAGTTGCTTTCATGTGTTATTTAGAGGCCTGGGCTTTCTATTGAGATGAGTCCTGTCATAATTTTTAGTACTGCAATTTTTGTATCAATTCAGAATGTCTAGCTTGGGACTTAAAAAGAGTGATCGGGTAGATAAGAATTCTTATAAGGGTGTGGAAACCTCTCCCCAATAGATGAATGTTAAAATGGTGAGGCTGACGGCGATATATAATAGGCCAAAGCGGACAATATCTGCTAGTGATAGGCTTGGACTGTTGTAAATGTATTAGAGCCAGACACCGAGCAGTGTGCCAACGAGGACATTGGTCCCCAAGGAGGGTGGATTGTGAGATCTCACATCGGTTGGAGAGGGAAACGAAGTATTCCTTATAAGGGTGTGGAAACCTCTCTCTAACATACCGTGAGGCTGATGACGATGCGTAACGGGTCAAAGCGGACAATATCTGTTAGCAGTGGGCTTGGGTTGTTACACAAGTTCACCGCTAGCAGATATCGTTTTTTTTTTACTTTCCCTCAAGGTTTTAAAACGTATTTGCTAG